TAAGTACAATTTTATCATATGTTTTGCAAATTCATTTCCCTAATAGTAATAATATTTTAAACCGTTTGATTTTTGTATTAAAGTTTTTTTAATTGATTGATGATTGATTCAATCAACTAATTTGTTGATTGTATTAACTTGATTCTTTAGATATCGAAAATTAAATAAATAACATTATGTTAATTTAAGCGTACAGACAGAAACGTTGCTGTTGTTCCAGCAAAAATCTTATTTTCACTTTACCGAGCGCCTAGTAGGTAATTCGTAGATTACCTAGATAATCTGCAGATTACCTAGGTAATTTGAGAAATGGAATAATTTTCGCAGCTTTAACGGATCACCCTAGTTAATCTGCAGATTACCTAGGTAATTTGAGAAATGGAATAATTTTCGCAGCTTTAACGGATCACCCTAGTTAATCTGCAGATTAGCTACGTAATGCACACATTTACGGATTTGGAGCTTTAGCGGTAACAGATATATTTATTCATATCAAATTACGTTGAACACGAAAGTAGTCTTTCGAAAGTATTTAATTAAAGATGAAAGCATACGATTAAAAATTATCGACTTTTTCTGTTAGTTGTTTGCAATGAATAAATTTTACCTGAATAAACTTATCGAACCATCTGTTACCGGTGGAATGTTCGCTTTTATTGCCGTGAAGGATGTGATGGGCCATCTCTTCCAAACTCACGTCCGAAAAGCTCTTCGATGTCGTTTGTTTCCTCGCCCCTTCGTTCGATTCGTCCATGCACACCACAAACATGCAATTTTCAATAACTCGAATAGATTCTTTATTATTTTCGTCTGCGTAATCGTAAATTTCAGTTGACGATCGAGAATTTTTAATATGTAAAAAAATTTTGGTTTTGCTCTCACTTTCGATCATTCGTTCTCTTATCCTCGCCCATTCTTTTCGATTGAGTGCCGTGAGAATACCCACTGGCAGATAGTGTGGCTCCAGCTTGCTGAGAGTATCGATTTTCTTGAGCTTTTCTACCAGAGCTTTTTCACTCGGAAGAGCTATTCTACCGGGTATCATCAACACAAATAACTGTTAAATAATTAAAAGTACAGTTGTGAAGACATCAGCGTGTATATAATAAACGCATGTAATGAAAATTAGTCAAGTAGGAAATACAAATGAAATAGAGAAAGTACTTTTGTAATACTGAAATGGTTCTGTGGTAATATAAATAATGCAAATGATAACGTCATCGACAATATACATTTTGTAATTACTAGAAATAAGCTTAGTACGGCACGTATTTCCTACAATAGATATATACACTACATGATGTATCTTATTAAATTTGTTATACTGTATATGGAGCGTGATTCAAATGTCTTACACAAACTTTAAAGTTAAGTCAGTAAAGCAACAATGTAATTTTACCTAAGAACATAAGCTGTGAACACCACCAGAATTGTTCAAAGTTTAGATAGAATCAGAAAGCAATACATCGTGTTTATTAGACCACCCGGGTGTTTGCCTAATGTAAAAAATTGCATTGAATTAATATGACAGGCAATGTTCTCAAATGGAATCGTTTCCTGGATAAGGGCGCTATTTACGTATTAGAAACATCAAGAAAATCTGAAAAAGTCCCAGCTTGTTTTGGCTCGCACGCATCTATTAATAATGTCTAGCTCTCGTAGAAATTGCAAGAATTATATGAAGTAGATGTCGAAAGTTGAGAAGGGTCCACCAGAGAAATCAGAAATGATTAGTAAAGCAGTACTAACATCGATCACTTGGTGTTATCGACGCTTTTAATAGTGAAAATAATTGTTAACATGTAATATACCGAATAAGTCGTTTGCAATTAGATCATATCTATCGATACTGTCAACGTTTTTATGTAGAAATAATAAATGTAACAAATAATAGCAGTATATGCATATGCAAAAAATATAATATATAATGTATGTAAGGAAATGACAAGCTCGACATATCGGAAAATTATAAAAAAGATAAATAAAATTGTTTTCTTTCTCCAGCAAAAGTCTTACCTGATTGTTGCAGATCACAATGATATGTCTGCTGCCGCCTTCACTAAAAACGTGCTGGTCTTTAGTCACTCCTGGTCTTCTGTAAGCCGTGAAGAAGTGATGATACGTGGCCATGGAAAGCGCATTCCCTTTCCTTTGTCCCCCAGAAAATTCTTGTTTTAATTCACCGCTGCAACGAATGAGTCATCTTAGTCACAGTTTCCTTATTGGAAATCTTGTTGATAATTAAATTTTGTTTACCTGTCAACTCTTTGCTTGAACATAAGCGAAAAGATGATAAATCTCGCAATAAATCTGAGAAATAATCCACATTTATCAATAAAACAAATTACTTAGAAATGACTATTTAACGAGAAAGCATTACCGAAATCTGTCATCATCCGTTTTGAATTGTTGCTTCGGCAGCAGGAAGAATGGATTGGAGTTGATGGGCAGAGGCAAAGGATTTTTTAAATACATATCGTTTAGCCAGAACTCGGTTACCTGCAAAAAATATATATTTGTACATTGTTAATTTGTAGTGAAACCGCTTGTCGAGAAAGAAGAAACACTCACGTAATTTTCATGGCTTTCTGCATATTCCTTCAAGAACTGCTGCAGGTTTTGCATTTTACCCGACGTTTTATAATCTTCGACCAATGTTCGAGCTTCCTCGTATTTGTCACCTGGGACAATTGCTTTGATTCCTTCCAAGAATCTGTTTAGAGTGACGGAGAGCTCGGGAACCGACGGCTTTGGCAATTCCTGCAAGAGAAAATGATTTATCAAATATAAACGAGCAATGCTCGTTGAATGCATCGTCAATTACGATACAAAATATATCATCTTTATCTTAATTGGCGACTTAGACTCACAGTTTCTTTCATTTCAGCCATTTTCGCTTCGTTTTTCTAGAAGGAGCTCGAATTGCAATTTGTTAATTTGCTGAAGACTTTTGTTAAAGTTGAAACAATGCTAATCGGTTGTTGCACAATAATGCATTGTTAACGCATACTGTATTTTTGACTGTATGTTAATAGTTTTTATTTACCATTAATTTATATATTAATAAATTATTTGTTAATTGCGTTTTTTCAACTTGGAGCGAGGCGAACGTTACATTCGATGTCTGTGTGGAGATCCGGCATAGAATCCAATCGGATTGAAAACCCTCACCGATTTATCAGATGTGGCGAAAGAGACATGCCGGTCGTCATCCCTTACTATTCCACAGCCTTGTTTCGGGCACGTGGAGCCCACAATAAACGTTTGACAAAAATTAATGTGAAAATAAAATTTTCAGAAGGAAGTAAATTTTAATATATATAAATAAATACGTGTTCTTCTTTTAGAGCACGCTGTCTTTCTAAAACTCCCTGATAAAATTTACCTGTCTTGGAATGATATAAGATTCACTATATTTTTTGTAAACATAACATTGTGATAAATTAAAACTCTGACTTAAATCATCTCATTTTTTCTCAACATCAACATTTTCTCATTTATTCGAAAGAACCAAAATTAATTACACAAAATACAGTACGATCACAATTAAACTGAGCTTATTGAGGCACCTCTAGAGTCACCGTTTTGTTTGTCGGAATTTGATGATGGTTTATGTGTTATGTAGACCAGCATTTCTGAAATTGTTTGTGGCTTTCAAATTTTAATGGACACCAGTTTTCACAGAAGTACTTGTAATACATGTAGCTTATTATTAAAATATCCTCAAAGACCGAAGAACAATAGATTAATAAACCCTGAAATTGAAGTAAGTATTTTCTTTCAGGTCGAATTTTGCCCGAACCGCTTTTAACAGAAATGAACTCAATGTTGCATTTGTACTCAATGAGTAGCAATAATGAATAATGCATTACTTTATTTTGTTATATAGTATAGTAACAAAAGTTTACCAGCCTTTTTTAAAATTTTATATTATAAGCATTTGAATAGCTTTATCATTATATATACGTTGCAGTCTAAACCAATTTTTACTTAGAACGCGTTTCAACAAGTTGGAACTAGTTTCAACTTGTTAAAACGCGTTCTAACCTAGTTAGCCTAATTTTTGATATTTTCAAACGGTGACGTCACATATTGTCATGTATTTGTATGACGAATCGTCGGGCCAATATTGAGTGTGGAAAGCTACAGAAAATGAAGCTACCGTTACTTCATTTTCTGCATCTGAGAAGAATAAAAGCTAGATAAGAACGAAGATTTTGTTGCGAAATGTTTCTAAAGTAATTTTAAACTAAAAAATTAAATAGAATTTATTAAAAATTGCGAAAAACAATTAATGTATGATGTAGTTAACCCCTTCGGTCTGCAGTCCAAAAACTGACTAACTCGTCGGACTTTTTCACCCGGTCACCCTACCTCCTATTCTTCCGCTCCTGTTCGTGGAATCGCTAATCCTACACAAATGCAATAACGATCGTCCCAGAAAGTTCCAGGAACGAATAAAAGAAAGAAATAGAGAAAATCACGAAATAAAATAGAATTATGACTATATTAATATACACGATAAATAAGGTTTCGATATATACAAATATACATATGACCGATTGCCACAGAAGCGTGAGTTGTGCAACTTTCGGCACGCGGTTCGACTACTTCGACTACGCGTGCCAGTGTTTAACGCTTTAAAAGCGGTTTCGGACGACAATTCTTTTCAAGTTTCTCTTGTCCCTGCCAGTCGTTGCTCCTTTACGTCCAAAATTCTAGTGTTTCTTAGTTAAAACTTAAACACGGTATCGATGTTTTAGTACTCTAAAGACCGTCGGCTGCCACTATTTTACATAATTCACAATTTCTTTTTGTGTTATTCCCGCTTTGCGCAATTATCTTTAGTTTTGCGACCGATGTCGAACTTACACCCCACGCTGTTCCGTTACACCGTTCTGCCCAGCAATATGTAAATATGCATTACAATTTACTTTTTACGGCTGTTTGTCTGGCTATTTTTGTTAATAATCTAATTTTTTTGTCTAGGAGTTGTAGAGGAATTATTGGTATAATTAAAACATTTTCTGCATTTTGGGTTTGCCTTTATTTTTTATCTTTTACTTCTATTGCGTTATTTATTTGATGATTTAAAGTTTAAAAGTTGTTTATCCTCCACAAGTCGGAACGGAACGAAAATTTAATTTTAGTGTATTTTTTAGAATACAATTACGTGATTTTGTATTAAAGCAAATCGTTATAATTACGAATATATTATAAACGAGCCAAGATAAAAATAAAACATGAAAATTTATAAGATGTACTGTTCAATAACCCTCATAGGATTAAAACCTATTCAAAATGTAAGTAACGTCGCGTAACAGTAAAATTTTATCCGTAAAATAATTAGTATAATGCTAAAGCGCGTGTTAACGTAATAATATAAATAAATACCATCACACTTGTCAGTACTGAAAAGAAACGTTTGAAATAATATATACCCCAATTTATTCGATACAAATGAAACCTGTGTAAACGAATACACGAAAGATGAATTTTTCGTTGTGACATTAAGTATTGTAGGAATGTTCCGAATTATAAATTAACCAAGGAACTTGCTGGAATTCGTCGAATCTCTTCATAAAGAAAATTATACATTAAAATTTTCTTTTTCAAGCTGTAATTGTCTGAAAAGTAAAAACATGAAAACGGCGTCTATTGTTTCTTATTCTATTTTAAACGTAACACGTCGTAAATTATAATTCATCAGAAGACGTTTCATTATATAAAGTATTGATCGTAAAAGTCTATGCTACTTCATTTATTTCAACCGAATTCTCTCTTGTAAATGGAAATGTATTGGCCAAAATGGTCGAAATCAATATATCGAACAGGAATGTACTGAATAGGGTTTAAGATGAAAGACACGATCGATAGTTTTCTGTTATTACGTATTTTATATTTAAAATAATTGTTTTTATTTATGTAATGATTTGTTGATTTATAATTAAAAAACACAACAATTAAACGTTTATAAGCGATAATAAAAAGAATTGTGTTTATTAAATCTGTTGCTTTCAAAGTTTTCTGCTTTGAATCATTTGCATTTTTGATAGTAATTAAACAATTGCTAAATTATTTCAGTCTATATCAGATTTTCATCACAGATTATTAAATCATACAATCGTTACGTGTCTTTATCGTCCAGTATTATTCATCTGTCAATCTACGTGCATATTAATGTGTAGTTTTATGAGTTTTTCGCTCAATTTTCGAGTGCCGATCTTAAAATTAATTTATTACTCATGGCGGTGGGAAATTTCCTCATTTACTACAATGCGCGAATCTTCATTAAACGACGGGTGACCACAAGAGTAAAACTAAATATCGGACATTTAAAGCAAATTAGTTGTGAATTCTAATAAATTTTAGTGATTGCGACGTGTCAGTTTAAGAAATAATTGTCATTTACAGTCGTCATTCAAAATACAAATCTTCTGTGCAGTTATTAAGTTTAACGTTTCGAAGCTTTCTTTATATTTAAAAGACCAGAAAATATGGAATGTAGAGAACTTCCCATCTGAAATATTTAAATGAGGAATTTAATTAAGGCATCAATATTGAAATTACAAGAGCATTATTTTCTTAGAAATATTACCTTTATTGGAAACTTCTTTGTAATTTTAAAGTAATCTTTGCATGACAGACACAGGGATTCTTTACCGAATCTTTTCATAAAATTCAAAATCTAAAAAGTTATTAATTTCTATTATTCTATTATAATTACACGAAAAAGTAATAAACGATTTACTACATAAAAATATGTTTTAAATATATCAAACCATTAATTTCTGTTCCAATTCGAGATCGCAGTCAGCAAATCTTCTGATGTCTTGAAATGACGTTTGCATCTGAAAAAAGAAATATAACGCATTTTAAAAACTTGCAAATGTAGTAAATCTTGGAATTTTTGATAAAAATACATTACAGCAGACGTGAAGGCGGATAAGAGGAATCCGATTAAAATACAGGCAAAAGTATGAATAGCGCAGAACAAAAAAAAAGGAAACTTTCAACTCCAACTTTACTTCAGAAAAGTTGAAAATGAAGTACATTAGACTCGTTTCCATTAACAAAATACAGTAAAATATTGTGAATACGTAATTGAACGGTCCGTTGAGTTGATTGGTAAAGTTCCAAAGTTCATCGTGCTGCGCTATAATTTCATTCAGTTGAGATTTCAGATTCGGAATGTTCTTTCTCGTCAGATACAAATTTTCTGATAGTTTTTCGAATGATTTCATTACAATAAAGTGAATCAAAACGAGGAACATCGTGATGTAGACTGCAGCACCAGTGATTAAAGTGCTGCAGATAACGATTTCAATTGAGCAGATAAATGGTTCGTGTTTAAAAGACTTTCCTTTTTCTAAAGCAGGATAATAGAAAAAAACGATTATACATTCAAAGAATATCGTAAAAGTAACAGTTATAATTATTGCAAAAACTTGTAGAGTATTCACAGTAGCATATAACTGACGTTTAGGAAAACGAAATGACTTTTTTAATTGTATTTTCGGATTCAGTTTGACTCTTTTGACAATACTGAATATTGCAGCCATGGCCAAAATAATAGTCGCAAAAGTTACTCTGACGAATATGTCATACTCGAATACCGAGAAAAAGGAAAAGCAAGGAGTTACGTCCGATACGAAAGGAATTGTCATACATAGAAAAAGGAAGGAATGGATCCAATGAAGGCATTCAATAAATGAGATGTAAAAGTTGAAAGGTATGCGGAAGCGACCGTCAGTGTTACGGGAGCAAGGAGTAAAAAATTCCAAGCCGTAGACCCTCGAGATTGAAGTAACTGAAGAGAGAAAACACTGCAGACATATTTCCTCCTTATTATCAACTGCGGGACTTTCGCTGGAGATGATTCTTATCATAGTTTTGAAGTAAGTGAATTAAGCGATGGTAAAATAAAATATATAATTTAATTGAAAACAATCACTCGCAGTTATTCTTTTCTTAGGGAAAAGTAAATCCAATACGTCTGTGTAGAAAGCG